AGAATCTAACTGCAAGGACCCGCTTCGCTGGGTTTTTATTGGTGGGCAAAAAGTAACGATAGTGAAGATTAAGATAATTACATTATAGCCAATCTTACCCATTTTCACAAAATGCGAGAATTAGGTCTCCCGTTTCCAGACGTTTCCAGAGAATTTTTACATGAGCATAAAAATATGTTAGATTTCCCGCAAAAGTGCAAAAAACCGCCTGTAAACCTTCCATGCCGCTTTATATTAACACTTCCTGGTCCTGATTCTATTTCTGAACGTCTCCTGTTCACGTCCAATCAAACAAACTATTTTCAACGTTTCTGGAATGTTTACGATCATTCTATAATCGAACCAATATTCGAATTTTATGTTCGAATTTAATTCAAACAAATTCAAACAAAACATTCGAAATAGAAAGCCACTTTCAACCACTTTCAAGCCCATATCTCCCGCACCCTTATAGCTATAGAGACGCAACCCCCCTGGTGCACGAATGGAGTCTTGGGGCTACTACCATATACAAACACCATTCACGTGTGATGTGTAGTTTTGGCGGAAAAGTGAAATATAGGGACATACATGTCCATTTTTATATATATATATAGATATATAATTATAGGATTCCCTTAAAGAAATTGATGAAAATAATTTTTTCAGATTAAATGCATTTTTCTTTTTGAAATTAACTTAACTTATTTCTAATATGAATTTTTTATATTTTATAAATAAAACACTTTATATTTATTTTATTTGAGTAAATTTTAATTTAGGTTTCACAGTATTTTGGAATTCCATGGACTGGTTCTTTGGAATTAACAGCAAATATGGAAGAACATCGTACTATAGTTATGGAACCAGAATCTGATACTGAAGGTGGAAACAAACAACTTAGTCTTAGTGTTCATCTTCAAGATGAATATAGTCTGGACGTTTATTTATTTGCACCATACTGGATTGTGAATAAAACAAATCTGCCTCTTCAGTTTAGAGTAAGTTTTTATTTATTTATTTATTCCATAATATCAATATACTTTTTAAATTTCTTTTAAAATTCCTTCAATTTACTAGTGTTATTGAGAGAGAATTTACTCTGGTAAAATCTTTTTCACTTTTTTCTATGAAGAAGAAAAAGGATGAAGTTATCTATTTAGTAATTTTATCTCCTTTATTAAAAACAGTTCAGGATTCCATTTAAAAGTTAGAACAGTTTTCTGGACACGGGCTTGTATGGTACTTGAAATATAAAATAAATCATGGAAAATAAAGATCAAAACTTTTTTAACACATCATATGCCAAGCAGTTACACTGGAATTGATATTGTTCAATTCATATGCAACAGAAAATAAAACAAAGTGGAGTGAACTACAGCTGTTCTACAGCCCACCCAAATTCAAAACTAGGCAGTTCCAAAAATAGCCAGATTTTTGGAAACCAGATATTTGATCCAGTACTTTATTAGGTTTTAATTATAAAGTGCATTCTCCATTAAATTTTATTTTATTAATATTAATTTTTTTTCATTACACATTCTAGAAGTTTTTAAACAAAATTTTTCTAATATAACTTTGTGAATAAACAATAGTTTTTATTTATATTTTAATACTTTTTAGATTGTAATTCCAATTTCTTAATTAAATTAATATAAACATTAAACAACCACTTCACTACTTTAGAATGTGGCTATATTCTATAAATAGAATAGTTTTTTCATTTTACATTTCCTGAAGAGGGCCAATTAAGTAGTGGCTGAAAATGTTTGATGATTGAATTTGAGTGTTTCTTTGCTGGAAATTTTTCATTTAGGTGTGATTCTCTAATATAAACATGTAGAAAATATTGCATTACTAACTGGAGTACCCAGCTTTGTTCAGGGAGTTGATATGAGATTGTGATAGTTGGAATAAAGGGATAAACTTTAAAATTATATTAGAAGTGAAAAAATTTTGTTGAAAACATATTCTAACTATTTACAATGCTTGTTTATAAACAACATTTTGCTCAAAAACTTTAACAAATAGGCACATATCCCACTGACCAGACGAACGGCCTCATTGAACTCAACAGTGATTTTTGCAACATAGCCACTACTGAAAACGAACTCATCGACCAAATTTATCCAAATATTGTTCACAACTATACCAATCCGGAGTGGCTATTTCAAAGGACAATTTTAGCAACTAAAAATAATATTTTGATGATATCAACTTTAATATTCAAAAGAAAATTCAGAACTGGCAAGAGCTCCTCCTCTTTTAAGTTTGGGCATTGTATAAAATATAAATCAAATCTACTTTTTATTAACAAATAGACTAAGTACACTTTACACAGTTTTCACACTTTATTTTTGATTTATATTCAGTCACTGTATCACNCTTTATACGAATGTTGCTACAATTTTTTCGCTACGTGATAGGAATTGTCGTTATAGGAACGCACGTTATAGGGGGGTCGACTGTATATAAGTATAAAATTACATTAATATATTTCTGTATACTGGTTGTACCACATAAAGTGTTACATGCTAATATCCTTGAGAACAACTTTAAAAAATGAAAAAAGGATGATTTACATTGGTAAAATTTCAAAGGAGCTTCATACAATGATAAAATTATGTTGCTCCACTTTCATACCATATTTTTGTGGAGTGACTGGAATGCTGCATATAAATGGGAGACCAGCATGCTGGAAACCCTGGGGCTACCAGCATGCCAGTTAAACTGCAACTAAAATATAAAATTAATCAGATCTAACAAAACTAGTTGTTAATTAAACATTAAAGAAAACATTCTTTCAAGTACATTAAAATGATAACATTGTAATTTGACTGACTTAAAATTGGAAAGAGAGTTTTCATTTTCAAGACAATAAAACAATTAACAACTTATTGACTATTAGTAGTTGTAGTTAGTCAGTGTGGGCTACAATAACACCTTAAAGATAACATCTTTCTCTCAAATTTCACACAAAGCCATGTTAATGGTGTAAGTTAAGATAATTTACAGCAAGTTTCTTAAATTTAATATGTTTATTTTTGCATTTTTGAATCAAATAATAATAAAATACACACACAAAAAAACTTCTGAAATTTCAAGAGTATTTTATGTCATTAGAAAGAAGAGAAAATGAAGAAATTAAACATATAACCATAGTTTTAGATGTAATACTGACAGTTTCACAGTTTTAGAATAAAAACTTATTTGTTTTTTTTTAATGCACCCTCTAGAGAGGGATTTATAACCTCACTTAAACCAGCATGCTGACATTCCCCAGGATAAACCAGCATGCTGGTTTTTCTATATGGAAATACATGGTGTGGCACCAAAATCCGGACAAAATTCAATTTGAAATTTCCGCCATTCTATACCACTGGTAGATGTTGTGTTTGGCATTCAAATAGCTTGATACGTGTATTAAATCATCATAACCTTGAAACACTCGCAATGTTGAAACCAAGTGCGGAGTATAACCGAAGCACCGCGATTATCGAAAGTGTTCGCGCTGGGTGCTCGGCAACAGAAATCATTTGGTTTTTCAGATACCCGAGATCAACTGTGTATGATGTCATCGCATAGTACAATGAGTCAGAGAAGTCCAGTGAAGATTTTACAACACCGGCGAGGAAAATCACTTGAAGGAGCACGTTGTCGGGATATCTGAAATCATTCAACGGGCTCGGGCTGATTTTTGAGGATCCAGGTCAGTCAATCCGAAAATTGTTGTTGGTTGTTGGTGTGAGTGAGAAAACTATGCATAGAATTGTTGAGGAGGATCTCTGCTACAAGTCTTACACGATTAAAGTGAGACAGATGCTTTCTGAAGCCTCCAGGACAAAGCGAGTTGAACTCTGTAACCTGCTTTTGTGTTCCTTAAGAAACAATGCTACCAGACGACTCAAATTTTTTTCTGATGAGAAAATTTTTACTGTTGTTGAAGGAATGACCTCGGGCTCTCCCATAACCCTGAAGATGTCCCCATTATTGCAAGAATGAAATTTCTGGCAAATGTTCATGTGCTAGGTGTTGTGTCCAGTGAGGGTGATGTCATGCCACCATATTTCTTTAACAAAGAAGAAAATGTCACAAAAGAAGTTTATTTGCATGTTCTGACAAATGTAGTGAAGTCGTGGATGGAAACTGTATAGTCTGGAATGTTTTCCAGCAGGACAGTGCGCCTGCCCACACAAGTCATTTGGCGCAAAATTGGTTGTTGGACAACGTACATGTTTTGGTCAAAAGAATTCTGGACTCCCAACAGCCCAGATTTGAATCCTTTGGATTTCTATGTATGGAGCATAGTTGAAAGGGTCACGAACAAGTCCAGACATCCAAACATCGCATCATTAAGAGTCGCTATTGATGCGGCATTCACCGATATGGACTTTGATACATTAAAGCGCACCTGTGTACGCTTCAGACCAAGAATGGAGGCAGTCATTCAAGCAAGAGGGGGATATATTGAGTAAATGTATTATTTATGGCCTTACAAACAATGTGGTTAAAAAAAACGTAAACCTTTTCATTTTTGCAATAAAAAATATGTTTGGAAAAAATGTGTAATTTGTCTGGACTTTGGTGCTGCACCCTATATCAGATTTCATGGTCTCTCCCAGATAGACCAGCATATTGGTCATTCTGCAAAAATACAGTATTTTTATAGTGAGACAGGTATAATTTCAAATGGGTCCCTATAGAAAAGTATGAATGGATTTTATGGAAAAAGACTATGAAAAAAGCTTCAGATAAAAATTTCTTATGTGTTTATTAAAAGCTACAGACAGTTGAAGGAAGGGAAGGGACTGAGCAATTTGAATTGATTCAAATTGCTCAGTCCCTCTCGCTTTGAATATAAAAGATGTCACTAAATCTGCAAAGAAAAATGTGTTTTCAGTAGGATCATGTTTCACCACACTTTTTCACAGATATATATATATACCGTATTATTAAACCAGAAATTTGTTGGCAAATAGACATACATAAAGGACTCACTAAATGATTCTTTTGCTTACCTGATCTCACACCTCGCAATTACTTTTTAAGGAGATATTTCAAGAAAAAAGAGATATTATGACTAACAACTACGGAGAAGACATGAAACAGAGAATATGTGAAGCTGTTGCTACAGTAACCATATGACTGTTGTGCAGAGTTAGACAAATTTTTGTAAAAAATGATATATAAATATTTAGATATATGAATGGTCAGCAATTTGGACATTTAATATAATAAACAGATAAAATAGTGTAACTGATGAGAATGTAATGAATTACATCTCTTTAACAACTTTAATCAAAGTTCCAACTGTCTGTGATTCTTAATAGATTCATCTAAAACATATTTGATAATGTAAGTTTTTTTCAGAATCCAAAAATATGCTTTTTTATAGGATTCAGTTTGAAATTTCAAAGTTACTCCCTATTCCCTTATGAAATAAGGCAAGGAGCAATATAATTTTATCATTGTTTGAAGTATTTTAAAACCATAAAAATGAAAATAAACTATTTGCATTAGTTAAGTTATTAGCATTATATGGGATATTCTGTATATTAGTATAAAATCATGTTTAACACATATTTTTTTTACAGGGTTCATCATCTGATGTGCTTTATGAAACATATGCTACTAGTGAAGAACCACTTTTATTTCGTTTTAAAAAACACAAAAAGAAAAAAGTAAGTACATTATAATATTGTTTGGTCATATTTTCTTTCTTTTTTATTTATCTTTAGAATGAATATCTGTCATGGACTCAGTATTTCTGGTCAAATATTGATACATATTAACTTACACTTATTTTTTGGGATAATAATGATTTTAAAGCATATTCTATATTAATAATTTAATAATAATAAAATGTTAAACATATATTTCTTATACTCAGCACTTTTGTCATAGAACGCAATGGAACGGCGTTCCACCACCTTTTTTTGATATATTTTGAAAGTTTTAAGAGAATTTTTGAAAATTTGATGTTTGGTCCATGTTGAATCACTCTATTGAGCATAGAAGATCGGCAACAAAATTATTAAGACGGTCCTGCTCCTGCTTGTGTGCCGAATCTTGTGTACGAAGCATGTAATATATTTTTAGTAATGAGATGAGTGTTCCACCACCTTTTTTTCCCCAAAAAAAGCACTGCTTATACTATAAAAACATTCTAAATAGTTCTTAATGCACTTTATGAATAAAATATTGCAACTGTTAAATTACTATAATTCCATAAACAATTAAATTGATAATGATAATTAAGATAGTTGTACTTTTTGGAAGTGTGTTGTATCATTTCCTCGTATATTACAAATTATTTCTGTATGAAGGAACATCAATCCACATCAATGCTTTTCTTATCAAATCATCTTTATTTCATTAATTTGCACAGATGCACTTCAGGATCATTTTTTCTCTTTTCAGTATGGTCTATTTTTTCTGTTTTTTGACAAGACATCTCTGTAATAAACTTTCATAAAACTTTGGCCTACCTTTGGGATGCTTCTGTACTTATATCTGATAGTAAGAAATTCACTAAAATTAAATATATTTTTTTGCTTTGATATTATTACCAAGTTTTAAGGTTGGTTAAGGTTTTATCAGTTTTCACTCATTTAAATTTTAAAATAAAATTTCATAAAACCATGATAAACTTGTTAAAAATTATTTTAGCTTTTTTTTCTAATTATCAAAATAAAAGATTGTGGAAATAATCTGTTTTTTACATGATTTTTAAGAAAAATTAATTTTGAGTGTGAGTAACCTGCTTTTAACATGATAGACTGAATAATGAATAATTCATCTTCTACTAGCACCTGAGTAGAAGGGAGAAGGTAAGCCCTCCATATTAGCGAAGATATAGCAGAGTTTTTGTAATGTGGTGGTTGGTAAGTGGCGGCTGGAATGATTTGTGGAGCATTATTATTTCCATGATGGACAGAGAATATAAGTTCAGGAGATGTATGTATATCTAAGTCCAGGAAAGATATTGTATTGTTTTCTTGCTCTTCGACAGTAAAATTAATTGTAGGATAAATAGAGGCTAATATTTGAGTAAATTGAAGTAAGTCCTCATTGGAACCATTCCACGCAATTAACACATCATCGACGTACCATAGATACATGAGAGGATATTGGATCGTTAAAGGGGCATTGAAAACTCGATGTTCTATATTTCTCACGACCAGTTCAGCTAGAATAGGAGATAATGGAGAGCCCATTGGCACCCCTTGTGTTTGTTTATATATTTTTCCATTAAATTGGAAATAATTATTTTGAGTAATAAGGTGAAGAGCTTCACATAGGTGTAAACTGTGTGATGCTGAGTAACTAGAATTGAGGAATAGGGTATTTGCCAGCATGACGGCCTCAAAATACAGAACAGAAGGATATAAAGAAATAACATTGACTTTGTAAAATTGGTAGGAACTGGAGGGGAGGTTTCCTAATTTTTGTAAGATGGTACATTTGGCTTCAGTGGAGGCTGCAGTTACAAACTCAGAGTGTGGGATTAAGGATGTGACTTTTATTTATTATCATTCTTATCTACGCGCTATGACGTAAGAACTTTTAAATAGCATTCAAAAACCATAATCAGCTGAACCATCGGAAACATTGTTTGAAATATTTGATATTGAAATTTGTAAAACCATTGGAATATCGTTTGAAAAGCTTAAACTATCATATTCTATGTACCACCTGATGATGGTAGTTTTACACTACTGAAAATGCTAGCAGATAAGATCTTTCTCCAAAAGTCGGATAAATTTCCGTGTCTGGGACTCCACTGCACGTAAGTGTTATAGTGATAGTAAACATCAGCGTAAAGTGCAAACATATTATATCATGGAAAATAATAGAAAGCACTTCTTTTCTCTACTAAAGAGAAGAATTACATGGTTAAAGCTTCAAGCACAATTATGGTTTTTACTAAAATGTCAGAAAACTAGCTTTATTCCCAAGTGCATAGCACTCAAATATGATTCCTTTCCAAAGGAAGTACGCACCACATTATCTCCAGTCAAACGTAAACTTCTAGCAAGATTAATAAAAAGCAAACGTAAAGCAACAGCAGATAAAGAAAAGCAATTGTACCTGGCCCATATATACTTTGGAAAACTGTGTGATGCAAACATTCTATACCAACAATTAGATAAAGTTAGGAATATAGTCAACAAAGAAGCTCGCCAAATTAGAAAGAAACTCAACAAAAAGTTCCAGTGGTTACGCTCAACTACTCACAGAAGACAACTTACAAGCCATGGAAGTTCCTTATTACAATTTTACTGACATTACGGTACTGGAGAATATCCACCAAATCCTAATAAGGGGGCAAAAGTTTATACCTATTCCTAACCAAAATTATTCACAACTGATACCTCCCATTATTGCAGCCATAAAGAGCACAAAAAGTCCAGAATTCCAACTTAAATTAGATCTTTTTACATTGACAGCTATAGCATCGATGTATTCCCCTAAAACCACAAGGGCAAATATGAAGACTCCAAAAGTACTTGTAAATTCTACATTGCCATTGCTGATTGCAGGAAAAGCTACTGATAAGTGGAAATGTATATAATCTTGCAAGGATTGTAAGATTTATATAGGATGGATATATACTTTTCAAAGAGTCAGGATTGTGTTATCTTTATTGTAGTTGATGGCTTATATATTAACCTCCACCTGACAATGTCTTTTTAAAAATGGACAAAAATGTATGCTTTTCAAGTGAGTGTTTATTTTACTGTTTTTTTTTTCTATTGAGTTAGAAGTTTTATACACTCATGAAGTTTAGGAATTCCTTCTCAGTATTCCATTTTTTGGTCTCACTTATTATATTATTATATCTACAATGAAGGGAATAGAAAAACAATGTTTTAATGTTTGGGATAGTATTTTCTAAACTGCATACCAGTAAGTGCCACGCCTTCAACATTTGCTGCAAAGGTATGGTGTACATAGTGGGATGTTATGTGAAGGTTTTATTTTTATTCTAGCAATATTTTATGGAGTATATGCCATTATGGATTATATATCACTTCAGGTTATCTAATTCTATAAATAAATATAAAATTGCAATGTTTAACAAAGATAAAGATACTTTGCTTCCATTTTTCATCCATTGTTCACTCCAGTTGACCATCCATAATTTCACAAACAGGTTATCTACATGAAATTACAGTACTTATTTTTCTGCTATTTGTGAATTGTTTATGTTTCATTTATTAGAGTTAACATAATGTCATTTATTATTTAAACAATTAATAGAAAATCTATTATAATTTTTACAGGCAAAAGTAAGAGTTTATAATTCTCGTTGGTCTCAAGCCATATCTTTTGATACTATTGGTAATAGTGGAGTATTAGTATGTGTAGATAAAGAAAGAAATAAAAAATACACAGTAAGTAATAAATTTTAGTTTTGTAATTTATCAATGATTCTCTTCAACATAAATTTAATATTAATAATGAGACTAATTAATTTTTTTTCATTACACATTCTAGAAGTTTTTAAACAAAATTTTTCTAATATAACTTTGTGAATAAACAATAGTTTTTATTTATATTTTAATACTTTTTAGATTGTAATTCCAATTTCTTAATTAAATTAATATAAACATTAAACAACCACTTCACTACTTTAGAATGTGGCTATATTCTATAAATAGAATAGTTTTTTCATTTTACATTTCCTGAAGAGGGCCAATTAAGTAGTGGCTGAAAATGTTTGATGATTGAATTTGAGTGTTTCTTTGCTGGAAATTTTTCATTTAGGTGTGATTCTCTAATATAAACATGTAGAAAATATTGCATTACTAACTGGAGTACCCAGCTTTGTTCAGGGAGTTGATATGAGATTGTGATAGTTGGAATAAAGGGATAAACTTTAAAATTATATTAGAAGTGAAAAAATTTTGTTGAAAACATATTCTAACTATTTACAATGCTTGTTTATAAACAACATTTTGCTCAAAAACTTTAACAAATAGGCACATATCCCACTGACCAGACGAACGGCCTCATTGAACTCAACAGTGATTTTTGCAACATAGCCACTACTGAAAACGAACTCATCGACCAAATTTATCCAAATATTGTTCACAACTATACCAATCCGGAGTGGCTATTTCAAAGGACAATTTTAGCAACTAAAAATAATATTTTGATGATATCAACTTTAATATTCAAAAGAAAATTCAGAACTGGCAAGAGCTCCTCCTCTTTTAAGTTTGGGCATTGTATAAAATATAAATCAAATCTACTTTTTATTAACAAATAGACTAAGTACACTTTACACAGTTTTCACACTTTATTTTTGATTTATATTCAGTCACTGTATCACTTTGACTACTCACACTTCACTGTTTGTTTTTATTTACTCACTGCACTACTTTGGAATTTTCACTTCTTTTTCGGTTCTTCCCTTCGTCACTGATAAGAAACCGACGTTCGAACCCACAACGGATCTTGCTTTATATACCCCCACCAATGGGTAGTCCCACCCATACAAAAAAGGATTCGAATGGTCCACAATGTTCCAGAACATTCCACAACATTCGAGAGTGTTCTGGAATGTTCCACAATGATATAGGATGTTCCAGGATGTTCCCAAACGTTCCAGAACGTCCTGGAACATTCTGGAATGTTGTGGAATGCTCTCGAATACTCTCAAATGTTCTGGACTGTTCTAAAAATTTCTAGAAGGTAAAACTTCCAGCCTTTATATCTTCAACAGCACGCCCTTCAGGTAAAAACGGGAACCTTCTTCATGGATGGGAAATAGAGGGCTATCACACCACATAACTCCCTTGATCATACCGGGACTCGTTTTTGAGTTTTAGTGGCATGCACATTATACACTTACCTTTATTAGTTACTGTGAAAGTCCGAAATTAGAGAATGTCTATATTCTCTGGTGAATGTCGACACATACAAAATACATTGGTGAAAGTCTGAATATTTGGTTATATTATTATACATTTGAACAATCGCTGGTGTATGTCGACAAGCACACACAAGCTTTGGTGGAGGTCGAAACAACACCCGAGAAACCGATGTCGACAGAGAGGCGGCAGTCTGTCGCCAAATACTTTGTGGATAGCCGGAGGTAGGACATGGTCTTACCTCTTTTTCAGGCCACAGTTTGGTGGAAACTTCCCACTTTGTCACTGGATGGCATTTTTGTTCTTTTGATCCTGTGAGGTGGGGATCAGTTTGACAGGTCAAGTGGCGGAGGATGAGAGGGGTCGTTGGTAAGGCGTCGGCGATATATGAATAAAAGATACCATTAACAGATCAGTTCATAATTTGTAAAGAAAAGTTACTTTCCATACATGAGATTTCTTCTCAAGAAATATCGCTGAGAGAAGCAGCTGCAACTAATTTGAAAAGTGGAGGGCAAGGCTATACATACTTTCATAGAAAAAAGTGTTCCATGAATAAATGCAGTTGTAAAAGCAAGGGACTCTTGTGCAATTCAAAGTACAATCACAGTTTAAGTTGTTGCAATAAATAAGATTGTATAACGTTAATCACATAATTTATGTGTAAGTTTATTATTGTATTATTTTCTTTAATGATTAAGAATGTACTGTTTGTTTTAGGTTCAACAGTTTATTTAAATGTGCTATTACTTAAGTTTTCTCCTATTTTCATATATTAAAATGTTGCATTTTTGTCTTAACATAATAAAAATATTTTTATTCAACATTCACCATCAGTGCATGCTGAATATCGACATTTGCTGGTGTAAGTGAGAAATAATGATGTTTAGCAAATATTTCGTACATACACTGTGTGAATGCTGACATTCACTGTGTGAATGCTGGAGAATGTTGACATTTGCCAGATATCGGTCATTCACAGTAACACATATATATTGATTTTTTTATCTTGTTTTGTAAGCTTTCTACTTCTTTTATTAATTTAGTCATAAAATTAGATAAACTTTTACTTTTAAAAAGCTTCTGAAATACATAATCTAAAAATGAATTAGCTACTGGTAGTTTAAAGATTACCTGACAATTTACAGTTTTTTTTATTTCTTTTTATGGATGAAGACTGTTAGTATTTTGAAAGGATTCTTGGTTTCCAAAAAATTCTGTTATTTATTTATTAAATTAAGAATTTACAAGACAGTTGTTATTTTATCATATATAGATGTAGTAAAGTGTTAATAAAAGAAATTCTGTGGCATAATATATATATATATTATGCCACAGAATTTCTTTTATCCTATTTTCTTTTAAGGGGATCCTATAATTATATATATACTAGCTGCAAGGACCTGCTTCACTGGGTTTTTATTTGTTCGTACATTTGTATGTAATATAGTTTTTTTATATATATAAAAGACTGTTTTTCTAAGTAATCTACAATCTAGCTGCAAGGACCCGCTTCACTGGGCAAAAAGTAACGATAGTGAAGATTAAGATAATTACATTATAGCCAATCTTACCCATTTTCACAAAATGCGAGAATTAGGTCTCCCGTTTCCAGACGTTTCCAGAGAATTTTTACATGAGCATAAAAATATGTTAGATTTCCCGCAAAAGTGCAAAAAACCGCCTGTAAACCTTCCATGCCGCTTTATATTAACACTTCCTGGTCCTGATTCTATTTCTGAACGTCTCCTGTTCACGTCCAATCAAACAAACTATTTTCAACGTTTCTGGAATGTTTACGATCATTCTATAATCGAACCAATATTCGAATTTTATGTTCGAATTTAATTCAAACAAATTCAAACAAAACATTCGAAATAGAAAGCCACTTTCAACCACTTTCAAGCCCATATCTCCCGCACCCTTATAGCTATAGAGACGCAACCCCCCTGGTGCACGAATGGAGTCTTGGGGCTACTACCATATACAAACACCATTCACGTGTGATGTGTAGTTTTGGCGGAAAAGTGAAATATAGGGACATACATGTCCATTTTTATATATATATATAGATATATAATTATAGGATTCCCTTAAAGAAATTGATGAAAATAATTTTTTCAGATTAAATGCATTTTTCTTTTTGAAATTAACTTAACTTATTTCTAATATGAATTTTTTATATTTTATAAATAAAACACTTTATATTTATTTTATTTGAGTAAATTTTAATTTAGGTTTCACAGTATTTTGGAATTCCATGGACTGGTTCTTTGGAATTAACAGCAAATATGGAAGAACATCGTACTATAGTTATGGAACCAGAATCTGATACTGAAGGTGGAAACAAACAACTTAGTCTTAGTGTTCATCTTCAAGATGAATATAGTCTGGACGTTTATTTATTTGCACCATACTGGATTGTGAATAAAACAAATCTGCCTCTTCAGTTTAGAGTAAGTTTTTATTTATTTATTTATTCCATAATATCAATATACTTTTTAAATTTCTTTTAAAATTCCTTCAATTTACTAGTGTTATTGAGAGAGAATTTACTCTGGTAAAATCTTTTTCACTTTTTTCTATGAAGAAGAAAAAGGATGAAGTTATCTATTTAGTAATTTTATCTCCTTTATTAAAAACAGTTCAGGATTCCATTTAAAAGTTAGAACAGTTTTCTGGACACGGGCTTGTATGGTACTTGAAATATAAAATAAATCATGGAAAATAAAGATCAAAACTTTTTTAACACATCATATGCCAAGCAGTTACACTGGAATTGATATTGTTCAATTCATATGCAACAGAAAATAAAACAAAGTGGAGTGAACTACAGCTGTTCTACAGCCCACCCAAATTCAAAACTAGGCAGTTCCAAAAATAGCCAGATTTTTGGAAACCAGATATTTGATCNAATTTAAAAAAAGGTTTACACCACAAGACATATTAAATTGAAGATTAGCATAATACTACTTAAACAGACTAAATTAAAAATCTGGCATTAAACATTTGTTTATAAAAGATTTATAAATAATATATGTCTATGTTTGATTTATTGCATTATTTTGAATTATTGAGTTGATACAAAAGTTTCTGAAATTTTCTAGAGTATATAGTATGTACAGTACATTTATTTCAAAAACAAAAAAATAGTTTTTTCAAGAAAATAATTATCATAGCATTCAGACACCTTCCATTGATAGAGAAGGTGATTATAGACTGCTGCTGAATAAAACTCAGGCTGCTTTGACTCAAAGAACTCTGCAAGTGCAGTTTTCATCTCCTCATAGAACTATTTTCCATCCAAGAAGTGTTGCATGAAGCAGAAGAGATGGTAGTCAATGGTGCATTGTCCCTCTTTTAGATCAAGCAGTATTTTTCAGGTCAGCCTTGACATGTGGTCTTGTGTTAGCATGAAAGTGCACCTGTAGATACTGTGGGGATAGCATCAGCCAAATGTTGCAGTGTGTGTAGTACATTTTAGTTATACTGGTATTCTGTGGAAACATATCCCAATGGATTGGTCTGCAAACATCTCACCAAATACACAGTATAGCCTTGTGCTGGTTCAATTCTGGTTTTGGCACAGCCTGTGCTGCTTGACCAATATCTGTTCATGATCTTTGCATTCTAAATTTAGATACAGGCACCATTTTTCATCTCCTGTAATAACTGTTTTATACCAAATTGATAATCATAAAGTATACATATGCAGATTTTGTTATAAGAAAGCATTGACAATACCCCTCATTTACATACCCCACAAGAAACTTCTACATACAGTCTGTCAAAGGACAATTTTGTATATTCTAGAGAGGTCTAGAAAATTCCAGAAACTTTTGTATCAATCTAATATTTTATTAATATATTTTGTGTTTATTTTTATAAATAGGCTTATCATAATATTTTTTTCTCAAACCAGGACAATTTTGAGAAAATACTCGCAACAGAAAATTAGCCTACTAGGATAATTACCTATGATTGAAAAGGCTAAATAAAGTAGTTGTTAACGAAAACAATGAGTTAAAAGCAATTTTTTATAACTGAACTAAACCTATCTTATTATTAATATTTATCACTAGTGCGATTTAAATGACAAAGAACTTTTTTTTAAATTCTTTGTCATTTAAATTGGTACATTTAAAATATAGCAATACATTTGAGGAAGTTCCTATTGCTTGCCTTATGTTTCACACATTTCAAATGATTTTTAATGTTTGAATGCCCATCATGAGTTACTGAAAATTCTGAAAAGCACAGTTCATATTTCACTTCATCAATACGATCACAGACATTTTTTAATCATTAGTAAACACGTGGTTTTTTTTGACATTTTAGAGATTAAATGAATTTAATATAGCACGCATTCTTTTATTCAGCAGTGTGCTGAGCAGTTGCTGCCAGAAATGACGTTTTCGCTGCTGACGTTTTCAACTGTCAGCAGCGAAAACGTCCTCAGTCATATGGTCTTAAAATAAATGTGGACAAAACCAAAGTGCTTACAACGGATGGATCGCGGGCAACTGTTTACCTTTATGGAGTCCAAATTGAGCAGGTACAAGAGTTTAAATACCTTGGGTCACTGATCCAGGAGAAGAAAGTGGCATCGTCAAAAGAAACTCATGCCCGTATTGGACAGGCAGCCCATGCATTTGCCTCACTCAAATGGTGTGTATGGAGAAAGAATAACATCTCTTTGATGACCAAGATCCGCCTGTTCTGTACACTAGTCATACCGATCCTTCTCTATAGGTCAGAAATTTGGACCCTGCTTAAGACAGACTTGGACAAACTTGAAACCTTTCAATTGAAATGCTTGAGACAGATTCTTGGTATCTCCCTTTGGGATCACATCACCAACAATGCCATCCGGGCCAGATGCAAACAGCAGTTATCTGTTGAGACACAAATTCAACAGCGACGGCTGGGATGGTTTGGCCATGTGTGCCGAATGGATATTAACCGAATTCCCCACCAACTGCTCTTCCGACAGCAACCTACTTGTGGAAAATCCAACACTCCGCACCTAAGAAAACGTGGACCAAACACGTTGAGGAGGACCTCAAGAACCAACGGCTTGATCTGAACCAGGCAAAAGCGGCAGCCATAGATCGAGGGCATTGGAGGGGCATTATGGAGAAAGCTCGACTTCCTGCAGCACCCACAGCAGCATACTGGTTGCGCGGATGCCTGCAACCAAATGCCAGCCAGGGACAAAAGAAGGAGAAGAAGAGACGGTTGAAAACACTTTTGCTGGAGAAAGAGCTATCTCAAAATAGCTGACATAAATAATGATTATCTTCCTGCTATATTTACTTGCATATTAGAAGAAAAGCCATTAAGTTTGATGTTAATTATAAGAAAACAAGGAAATGATGATTTATTTATGGCATTGGCAATGACTGATTCCCAATAATGAAGAAAGCATGCAAAAATTGTTGGTTACGTTCAAAATATCATACCACAGTATTCAAATGAAATCTTTAAAAGCCATTTTCATATGTCACGATTAAAAATCTGCTCATTTAAAACAGCAAAAAACTGATTATTATTTGGTAGTCGAAAAAGATACTTTCTCATGGAGGCGTCCATCTTGTAAGTACTGTTTTTAGCATGGTCGAGAGGTGCTGCTAGTGCGCTGAAAGCACATCTTAAGCATACTGACAATAGGCTTAATAATTGAACACATGCGCTAAAAGCGCTGCAAGTGCGCTGAATAAAAGAATGCGTGGATACTGTACAAAATAATTGCAAATACCGATCAGCAATTTGAACTCGACCAAGATATGACATGCACAGCAATGACGTGGCCAGTGTAAGTTTGTCTTGCCAACTCTAATTGAAACAAAATATCTAAAAAAAATGAAATAAAAATATCTGGATCTCATAGACTACATGCTGTTATAAATTTTGTGAAAAAATTTCTGAATGACAAAATAAAACATCTAAATTCATTAGGCCATATGCTATAAATTTTTGAGGAAAACATATAGACAACATTAAAAGTACTTAGATCTAGATATAAAATATTTAGATTGGCAACAGTGAGTGCAACAGAGGTGTAAGTGCCAAATCTCCATTTTACTCGAGGCTGCACTATTTTTACTTCTTGTATATTCAGCACTTTTAAAATTTTACCAAATAACTGGGACAAATTGACAAACTGGTCAGGATTCTGGGACAACATCGTCAAACTGGACAATCCCGGTCAAAACGGGACATCTGGTAAGCCTGGTCCACTGGTAAATACAGTGGAACCTCGGTATACGACCTCAATCCGTTCCTGGTGTTTGGACTTATACCGAATAGGATGTATACCAAACCAACCTTTTCCATAAGAAGTAATGTAAAAATGATTAATCCGTTCTCATGTAAAAAAATGGCTGGCTTTAAACACCTCGCTTTCCTCGCTAGTTTCTGCTTGATTTTTCATGAGATCAGCATGTNAGGATTCAGTTTGAAATTTCAAAGTTACTCCCTATTCCCTTATGAAATAAGGCAAGGAGCAATATAATTTTATCATTGTTTGAAGTATTTTAAAACCATAAAAATGAAAATAAACTATTTGCATTAGTTAAGTTATTAGCATTATATGGGATATTCTGTATATTAGTATAAAATCATGTTTAACACATATTTTTTTTACAGGGTTCATCATCTGATGTGCTTTATGAAACATATGCTACTAGTGAAGAACCACTTTTATTTCGTTTTAAAAAACACAAAAAGAAAAAAGTAAGTACATTATAATATTGTTTGGTCATATTTTCTTTCTTTTTTATTTATCTTTAGAATGAATATCTGTCATGGACTCAGTATTTCTGGTCAAATATTGATACATATTAACTTACACTTATTTTTTGGGATAATAATGATTTTAAAGCATATTCTATATTAATAATTTAATAATAATAAAATGTTACTTACAAATTAAAAATCAGAAAAAATTTAACAAAGTTATAAATCGTAGCACCGCAAACATCTAGTCTAGTGTAGTACACCGATAGTGCTACTTGTTGATAGATGGCGCGTATAATTAAGTCGTATACTGAACAAAAGTCATATACCGAGCAAAATTTATTTCGTCCAAACAGGACATATTCCGAATTGGATGTATTCTAAAGCAGACGTATACCGAGGTTCCACTGTATATGTTCTCTCTATTTTTTAGTTATTGTACTTTTTTCAAACTGTAAAAATTTTGTTATTCAAATTAATGTTGCATTCATTAGATATAGTGTAAAATAATTAATCCAAATTAAAGGTTAATGTTTATTAACTGAAATGCTGACAGAATGTCCAGTCCAGACAGAAATGTAATAAAAAAGGAGTGATAAGTGTATTTAATTTTATATACATTATGTGATCAAAAACTACAGATTTTAAAATATTTACATTAGTCATTTAAGATTTTTTTAGTCATTTCCTTGCAACCAAAAATAAACTATATTACAGTCGACCCCCCTATAAGATCATAGATACGTTCCATTCTTTAGGAATCCAATTTCTTACGAGTCCTTCCAATCACAGCCCGACACGTGTGAAGTTTACGGACTACGGCTGATTGAAAGGTTTTCTTCCATAAAATTAATCGATTCTAGANAATTTTTATGGCCGTTGAATAAGAAGTGTTTCTTTCACAAGAAATGTATAAAATTAGTGCTGTATTAGACTTACGGTACCTAATTTACATACTGTACAGATGATAATAAACTGAACTTACTAGCCTAAAATCTCCGTAGCGTGTTGCCAGGCGGCAGAAAGCATATATATAATTATAATAAAGTTACAATAAATTAAGTTAATATATAATTATATATACAGTACCTAATTTATATATAATTAATATATAATTATATGTACAGTACCTAATTTATGCATAATTTATATATAATACTGTACAGACGATAGAAATCTCTCTGTAGCGTGGCGCTACGGAACGGTGGGAAAGTAGTTCGGCTGCCCAATGACATTTAACGTAATTATAGGGGGTTTTTTACGGATACCGTCGCAATTTTTTCGCAGTTTTATAGGAATCATAATTATAGGAACTCGTTTTATAGGGGGGTCTACTTGTATTAAATATTAATTAACTTGTTTATTATTGTATACACAGAAATAAAGAATAAAACATGTAAACTTGGTAAAACACTATTTGAAGAAGCCTTTTATATATATGTTTTATTTGTCCAAAGCATATATATTGATATGATAATCTTATTACAAGTGCTTACTTTATTAATAATTAATAAATGAGATAATTAAATTGATATATTTTAGGTTTTAATTTTTAATATTTTATGATTTTAAATATTATATTTTTACAGTTCTTTTTGGAAATCCGGTTATCTCAGTTACAATTGGCAAAAATTATAATTATTTTTCCCTATTTTGTAGTAATTAATAAAACAAAGGTAAGCATATTTATTTGTTTAATATAAAATTACAGAATATTAACAGTTTGAACTATTAAACTACTTTCAAACTACAATATTTATTAAAATAGAACAAAATATAAATAAATATATTGGTATTATCATTAGTATTATTATAAATATAGGAAATCCTCATTAATTTGAACTTGTATAATTCAAAATTTCATTAGTTCATAACTGTACTATTTGCTCCAGTGAAGGGATGTAGGTATTTACATGTTAAGGAATTTGATTAGTTGAAATATGGTTACTTTGAAATTTGAAGTGAAAATTCTGTCTGAACTGTGATTTGTGTATGTTAACTCATATGTTTAGATTGAAGTTCATGTGCCTCCATAATACAATAGAATACAGTAGAGTATCGTTTATCCAAAAGTCAGTTATCCGAAAGCATTTCAGTCGGCAAATTTAAATTTTCACTAGTACTGTGGCGCTGCAATCTTTGGCCATATCTTGGGCTACTCCAATATTTTTTTTGTTGGTGTGTATGTTTTAGCTGGCAGCACTGGCACTTTTGTGTGGTGTTTTTCTGAGGACTGTGTCGTGCTGAATCGAACGTTTTTGATACTAGATCATCTTCTAAAGTACATATTTTGTGGTTTTTATATTTTTCAATATTATTTTGTTTGTAAGAAATAAAGAAATAATTTTTATTGATACAATAGCCACGATTATTATTTTAAAAAGTTTACGTTAGGCTTAACATCGACGAAAATTCAACACAAAGCGACACACAATGGAGAAAAATTTTAACACGGGATAGGTTAATATATTTTTTCGTACATAATCAGTTATCCGAAAAATAAGTTATCCGAACAACCTCAGTCCCCAATTGATTTGGATAAACGACGCTCTACTGTAATAGACCATGAACAACTCAACAACTCTAATCTATCCAACATGGTTTCATTTTTACAGCAACACATTTTCAGGTGAGCTATGACTTACCTATTGACTATCCTTTTTTTCTTATCTCATAAAATATGGTTGGGTTTTATAGTTGCAAAATTGGGCTAAAAGTAGCAGATTGAGATATTTATAGGACTCTATACAACTAAATTTGGGCAATTTACTACTTTTTTGGCTACTTTAAAAATAATTTGGGCTACATGTCAAGAGTTTGCTTTAATTTTTATAAAACCTATCTGGCAACCTGTGAGGTTCTCACTGGACACATGTTTAAATATAAATTCAATAATTAGAACCAATGGGATCGGTATATTTCAATAATCACTAAAAACAAATATTTTCGGTTAAAAACAATTAAAAAACATACTCTGTCTACATCCGACTTTGAGGATTCTACAGGTCAAAACTGGCAAATAAGCGACAAGAAATAAATTAAACTTTTATCATTACCTTATCTTATCACACTATACCTTTATTTTTCTGAGATAGTTTTATTGAAAAACTAAAGTTTTCGGCCTACTCTATAGGCCATCCTCAGGCTTAACGATAGAAAAAGGAACATTGGTGTTCCGTTAAATAGAATACATAAATTTAAATACAAAAAATAATAACGGAAAAACAAGAAAAATAACTGAAAAAATAATTCAGATATAATACAATACAAAACAAAGCCAAACCTAGTGATAGAAAATAATAAATAAAAATAAATGTACTAGTTAATACTTTAGATAAACATTGTAATAAATTGTTAAGGAATATTTGATGAACGAAGTAACTATGAACTAAGACAAGATTATGAGTTTGTGTTAAATTTCTTCACTATAAATTTCCATGCCGTTGGTAGGCTTTCTGCGTCCCTTGCATTTATGCAGGCCTCTTCCAGTTTGCTCTTGTAAATTTCAATTTTTTCAGCGGTTTTTGCTAGTGTTGGAGAATACAAGGGTTTGACAATACCCACTTTATCCCATTTTATTATTGAGCCTTGTGTCTGCACAAACTGGGAAAGTACTGTTGTGTTGGAGCTTTTTTTGACGTTATACTTGTGTTCTTTAAGTCTTATCCCCAAGTTTCTTGTTGTCACTCCAATGTAGTCTTTTTTGATTCCTAGTTGTGTGTTCTCGTAAGGAATTTTATATACTCCTGCTTTTTCTTCTTTTTTAATGTGATCTTTATCATTTCTTAAGATTGTATACAGGTTTAGAGCTCTTTTTAGGACCATTCTTGTTTCCTTGCAGTTCGTAATTTCTTTCATAATACCTTTCGTATTCTTGTTATATGTGAACTTTGTGACTTTACCGGGATAATGTTTTGAACTTCTTGCTATGCTCATCTCGTATTTTTTAACCAACCCTGCTATTTTGCCTTTTCTGTATCCCAGTGTTTTGGCTACTTGTATGATTCTGTCAATTTCTTTTGTTCTGTCTACAACATTATCACAATATAGAAAAGCTCTTCTGATTATAGCTCGGAATGCTGCCACCTTATAACGGTATGGATCATTTGATTACGATGGGATGTAAATTGGGCTGTGCGTTGGTTTGATGTAAACACTGGTAGATAAATGCCCTTTTTTGAATAGAATGTTAATATCTAGAAAATGGATAACTAAGGAACTTTTTTATTCTATTCTCAATTTTAGGCCATCATTATTATTGTTTATCCTTTCTACAAACTCACTTATCTTACAATTATTCCTCCATAAAATAAGGACATCGTCCACATATCTTTTAAAATATACTATTTCCTTTTTGAAATCATACAGGACTTTTTTCTCCAGCTTTCTAACGATCAACTCACATAGTATTCCTGAGATTGGACTTCCCATTGGGACTCCACGTTTTTGCCTGTATGCCTGGTCGTTGAAACTAAAGCAGGATTCATAACATATTAGATTAGCCAGCTCTAATACCTCCTCATTGTAATGCATCAATTTGGGATTTATATTGAACATGATTTCCAAAAGTGCTTTCTTGCAAGATTCGATTCTTGTGGGTGGATATAAGCTCTCATAATCCAATACCGTTGCTACTTCCTCTTCCATTAATGTTATGTCTTGTATTTCTTTGACCACCATTGCAGGATTTTGTGCCACTAGTTCACTTCTTTCAAGTTGTGAGGAGATATTGTAGTGAGCACGTGGTGATGGATGAATTCTCACAAAGAGACAGGAATATAAAACAATAAGACGTGCTTTATTTTACTGTATGAACATATATACAGGAAAGGTTCGTTGATTCCGACCTCCTTGTTCCTCACTTTAATTAAACAAAAGGGAACAAACAACACCGATTGTTGTTTCACAGTGGAGCTAAACTTTTCTTTCGCGTAACAAAGGAGACACTTAATTACTAACTTAAAACTACTTATAACTAGAAGAGGAAAGGAAGAACAAGAATTAGAATAGAATGGGAGAACAAGAATGGAAATTTCTAGTAAGGAACGGGTACCCGAATGGTTGACTGCGGTGGTGGCCACTAGATGATTTCGTCTTGGGATTCTTTTCTTCTACGGGGACGGAGCACATGCGAAGACCCAAAGTTCGTCCTTTAGTCTCGGCTTTACCAATGTTCTTTTTCTCTTCCAAAGCTCTTTCTATCTTTAGTGTTCTTCGTAACCCTTCCGGCCGAAGCAACACCGATCTCGGGACCGCTCTCTCCGACGGCCTTTCCTCCTCCGGTCCAAAGCCAAAAGTCCTTATCGTCCCCCACTTGCCCTCTGGGCTATCTTCACCCCTTTGTCCCGAAATTGGGTCACTGACCACCCACATTCAGACGAAAGTTCCAGAAAGTATAGAGACAGAACAAAGAGAAAGGGGAATAGAATATTCTTATATATACATATATAAAATAAAAACAACAAAAATATACTGGTGTACCACCACAATATATGTCTAATTTTTTTTCTAAGATAAAAGTCAGTCCTTTGCGCTTTTCTACTATTGGTCTTATTTCCTTACCTTCTTTGTGAGTTTTGGTGAAGGCAAATAACCTTGGCATTCCAGGTCTTAGGTTTCGGCATTTTTTAAGAAAGGGTAAAATAGTATTAAGTTTTGTTCCTTCTAGCTTTTTGACTCTCCTGTCAATGCTCTCAATGATTTTGCTTTCCACTTCTTCACATTCTGTTTTTATAATGTAATCTTCCAACGCTTTGTTGTATGTTTGTCTCTTCATGATAACTAAAAGTTTACTTTTGTCCACTCTTGTTACTATCAGATCATTTACACTTAGCCATCTTCTAGTAAACTGAATATCTCTGTTCTTATCTCTTCCTTTCTTCCAATCTGTTTGTTCTTTAATGACCTTTTTCCATCTGAAATAATCTTTATCTAAGGAATCTAGTCCAATGATCCCTCTTTCGATTTCTTGAATCAAGGTTTCCCAATTCTCTGTATTCTTTGGGACAAAGTTGGGGTCTTTTTCTAAAACTTCTTTAATCATTACCATTGACTTTATTATATAATTGACACATTTCCTGTAGTTAGAGTATATTTTTACTTGTTTTTAACTGAAAATATTTATTTTTAGTGATTATGGGCACATGTTTATCTGCAGTGGTAATACAGTATATTATATCATTTTGCTAAAACTAGCTGATATCTGTTGTACAACCAAGGAGTTACAGTAATACCCTGAACTTATACAATAGGTGGGACTGAGCAATAACCACATAGGTCGAATTCATGTAAGTCTGGGTATAATTTCACATTTTGTATAAAATCCAAGTTGGATGTATGTAAGCTAATAAATGTTCTTATTAATCTTATCTTGTCTTTTGATTTGTTCACGGTTACAAGAAATCACCACATAGAGTCTCTCAAGTCTCTGTAGATATAACAAACACAGAAATAAATAACACAAAATAAATTGTAGCTATGTGTCAATTCCGCGCAACACGTCCGAACGTGTAAGCTGAACAATAGTGTGGGGGGGTGAGTAATCGAGAGTTGCATGGTGCTCAAACAAAAGACGAATCGACGAGATTTGAAAATCGCATAACTCCAAGTTCACGTAAGTCGGGGTAGCTTAAGTCGAGGTATTACTGTATAGCAGAGAGCAGTAAACAGTGTTGAC